AATGGGTTTACAAAACCTTTAATACAGCACATAAATATATATGCTGAGATTTTGCTACCTCACTCATACTTTACTTCTTCCAGATTTGCGTTTACATTATTAAAATATTCAGATATTAAGTATTAAAATAGAATGCCTCCTATTGAGGCTTCTGATTTTATATCCACAGGCCCTGCTCAATCTGGAATTCTGTCAGATCGTGAAGTGGTCACTCTCTTTCTTCATTTTACTGTCAACCCTAAACCCCGAGTTGAGTACATTGACCGACCAAGATGCTGCCTCCGAGGGAAAGAATGCAGCATCAACAGATTCCAGCAGGTGGAGAGTCGCTGGGGCTACAGTGGGACGAGCGACCGGATCAGGTACCTGTCATAACGTAGCCTCGGGCGAGGCTCGGGGCAGCCATAGTACTGGGCCTTCATCCTCATAGTGTGGGAGATAATGAACCAACATTTTATTTTATACTTTCATACATTTCAAAGTTTAAGAGTCAAGATGTCAGTGAGGCATTGTGGTCACCTCGCTGAATTTTGAGTGAGAGAGACTTCTTAGGAAACAAAGTAAGAAAGAACTTTCCTGTTGAGCCTTCTCTTATGGGCGTTCTGCTCAGATGTCCACTGCCAGTGAGCTAGGTTGTAGAGCCTGATGGATCAAACATTGTCTTTACAGGCCTGGAGCTACGAGTTCTTTAAACATCTGTACTATGTTTAGTGTGAGCTTTTTCTTTATATCAATACTGCATGAATACCTCAGGCTGCCGTTATATGAGTGTTAAATGGGACAAAAATCAAGAATCTTCAAGATAAGTACATATAATCCCCTTGAGGAATTTGTCTTTGCTATGTTCCTTTAGGTTAAATATCAGAATATGAGGGCAAGTCAAAAAGTATCGCTACCTGGATTCCACTTGGTGCCTGCACAAGTTTATTCTGAACAAAACCTGTTTGGACATGTCTCTGCGTTCAGGAAACGCTTGTCTTCGTCTCATTAGGGTACCTTCCCCCAAAATGGGTAATTTTTTTACCATGAGTCAAAATGATTTTGAGGTCTGGGCTAATATTAAATTATTTTTTAAAGATCATTTTCTTGGGGGCTCTTACAGCTCTTATAACATTCCATACATCAATTGTATCAAGCATATTTGTGCATATGTTGCCATCATCATTTTCTAAACATTTACTTTCTATTTGAGCCCTTGGTATCAGCTCCTCTTTGTCCCTCCCTCCCTCCTTCCCACCCTTATATCCCCTTGATAAAAGATAAGTTGCTGTTGTTTTCTAATATTAAATTTTTAACAAAACTCAATCGGATGGACATGTTCCCAAATCACTAAAATTTTTCAGGAATGCTGCCCAACATAAAACAACAGTTTTTAAATGGATCAGACATTATTTTGTTTGTTTTTTTTGGATCAAGCTAAGGGAAGTCATGAATACCTCAAAGATAGGAGTCAAGGATGGGGAAACCGTCAACTTGAATGAATGAAGAAACTGTGGCTGAAGTTGAGGAAAAATATAGAGTTCTTACTGCCAACGTTCCGTAGGAAGCTGCGAGTTGGCATCTTGAGCTGTCAGCATTTTCCCTCTGAAGCGAACAGCTCAACCTCAGCAAACTTTTGGCTCAATGGATGCCAAAAG